CGAAGAAGCAGAAACGTGTCCTCATATCCTCCTCATACTAGACGCGGAAATATTTCTGTGGGCTGAGGAGAAAAACCTCCTTGCCCATCATATTCTCCTGGTAGCCAGACAAGAACTTTCTTAATAAATACCTCGTGGATTACGAGCAGAAACGCCTACACCTGATACCAGATTTGGAAAACGTTGAGCTAAAGCAAGATGTCGAAATATTTCTGGAGGTCATGGCAGAAGACCTCCTTTTTCAGCATGTTCTCCTGGTAGTCAAAGACTAGAGAAACTGGTGAAGAAGCCCACGTGATCGTAAATGAAAGGGGAGTGGGGTAGATAGAGTTTAAGTAAAGGATGCATCAATAACAGAGAATTTTATTACAAAACATTGGCAACACAATCACTCCACTTCCTCCTCGCGCGTCTCCTTTTTAATAATCCCCAGCGTTTTGGCAATGCGCCGCACGTGCGCCAGCACCTCCTCCTGCACGAGATTAAAGCTCATCGCGAGCAGGGAGATCCCGAACAGCAGGTACAACGAGCAGAACGCGATGCTGACCTTGGCCTCGTTGTTCGTGGTCTTGTTGCTCGACGGCACGAAGTCGCCGAAACCGATCGTCGTCAGCGTGATGAAGCAGAAATAGGCGGCGTCCAGGTGATCCCAGCCCTCCCAGTAGTGAAAGAGGAACATGCCGGCGATTATGTAGCTGAGCACGAGGAGGACGCAGAGCCAGATCGGGACCGGCTTCGTGCGTATGAGGCCCATGTCGTAGTAGTCGTCGTCCGGGTAGTCCTGGTCGGATTCCATTTCGTCGGTGTAGCGCTGACGGGTCCCGAAACCGAGCGGTGACATTATCTTGGGGCTGGGGCTGTACGGAGCTGAAACGAGCGCGGTTAGTTCGGGAGTTTAAGTTGTGTTAGACTTACGGCGTCTACGACGGCTGCTGAATTTAATGGAGTCGAGCGATTCCGGGGAGGGTTCGCGGTTTGTAATCGGGGGTTCTAAATAGCGAGACCTGGGGGTGGAGGCGGTACGCCTGCCTTGAATCGGAGGCGTTTGCCTCTGGAGGTTCCTGCTTCTTCTGCTGCATGACGCTGAAATCTTGGGCTCCTCCAGGTCGATGACGTATCTGTTGCAGAGCACTGGGGCGTTTGCCAAGATGAAGGGCTCTAGGCTGGCTTCCAGCTGCCTTGGGGCGCGCTTGCGGTCCAGGGAACTGGCACGTTGGTACTTGGAAGGCCGTTTGCTCTCAGCCACCTGGGGATGCTTGCTCGGTGACCGAATCCGTGGGGGCACGCTAAGCCCGCGTGCATGTGAGCGAGGGTGTTCATCATGGTACCTACTAAAAGATGGTCAACGGCAAGTACAATAAGCTCATACCTCAAATCCGGGTCCGAGTAGGAAGACGGAACGGTCTCCGAGAAGCCAAAACCGCTGTCAGCCGAACGCGTGGAGTTTCGCACGGATCTTCTGAAGGAAGCAGTCCGCGACCGGCCGAATCTGGTGCTAAAATTACCAATGAAGTCAATTTTAATGAGAAGGATAACTTACTCTCTACTCCTCGACGTATGGCGACGGTTACGTCTTCGTCGCGGCCTCTTGGTGCACACGTAACAGCAAATCTTCCAGTAGAGAAACCGAAACGAGGTCGCCAAGATATCGCCAACGTTCGACAGGCACAAAAGCATAAGAGGTATGCCCAAAATGGCGTAGAATATCGTCGCGACTTTCCCCCAGTCCGTCTTGGGCGCGATGTGGCCATACCCTACAAATCATTCGGCAATTACCAATTCAACTCAGTCACGGTCATTGCTGTTTCTAATTAGTCGAAATTATACTGGACGGACGGACGTGGATGATTACGATCTTTCTTTGTACTGCACTTCGGGAATTCCTGAGGTCGTTACCTTGTCCTGAAGAATGACAAACGTGGACGTAAAAAACGCGAACTGCAATTATATGGCATCTAATAACGAAATGTCGAAGGTTTTTAGGCCAATGTCTCAGCGAGCAGGTCGCGCCGACCACGTCCGATGCACTTTCCTTCTCTAACTAATGCTAATTAATCTTCGATCAGAAATTCCAAACATGCTACCATTTATAAATCTCTTAAAATTTTAGATTAAATTATAGTGCACTTGCCTGTGATCCTGATAGCTGATTATTAAACATTGTATTAAAAGATCATAAGTCGATATTAAAAGGTTTTAAACCACCCCGCATACCTGCAAACCTGAGACAACGGTTTTTAAATAAATTTGTATCAGGGGACCATGATACATGCGAAGGTGTCCGTGTTTCTGCAGGCATACCTTACACTTTCACGCGTTTCTGAGCTCCTGACATTGATTTTACTATGCATCTGTGATTCTGATACACCTTTAAAACTGTTAAACCTTCATTCCTATTTTGCCCTACGAAAATTTGTAACAGGATAAAGAAGATGTCAATCATTTACATCAGGAGGGCACTTTCCTACGTTTCTGGGTTCCTGATACTCTATTATTGAAAGAGGGATTTGTAGGAGGAAACATCCTACTAGTAAAGCTTACATTTCCAGCGCTTCTGTGATCCTGATACACCTCTGCATCAGGAGAGCATAATGGTCACTTGCAATGATTTTGACACATCGGCAGTATAGAAAAAAATGATCAAGGAACCACAATACATACGAAGGTGTTTGCATCACCCTACGTCTCTGTTGTCCCGATTCAACAATTCAGATCAGGAGGCCTATAAAAATTTTGAAAACTACATGTGAAATGCACATTACCTACGAAGACGTCTGTATGAACACGCCAGACATCCCTTCTCGCCTGTGACCCTGGTACGTGGGTAATTAAACTAACACCTTTATTAAGAGAAAATAGTGGAAGAATGCGTCTCCAAAGAAATCTTACGCCTTCGCAGGTTTTTGTAATCCTGGTACATTGCTTACGTTAAAAAGATTGTAGCAGGAATACATGAGACGCACGCTTCTGTTGTCCTAATACGTCTGTACTGAAGCAGACATTTGCTGGAAAATTGTACACTTTGTTTTTTTCTGTGAACCTGATATGGAGAAAATTACAGTAAAATGTTGTATTAGGGGACCACAATACAAGCGAAATCTAGTACTCTAGGATCAGGCATTGGGGTTTTAGCATTATTTTTCGGAAATATACATCGACTTATTCGTTTGGTGAGGGGTATTCCATACCCCCCAGACCCCCCTGTTCTAAGCTTTCTACGGTACTGAGAAAAGAATTTCATAATCCTTCCTCGTAACTGTCATGAGAGTCCTGAAGCCTAAATGGTTTGTAGAAAAGTGGTACCGGGGGGTCTGGGGGGTATAGAATACCCCCCAGTAGACTACACTTTAATTGCTATTTCCGGAATACCACAATAAAGGCATTGGGGTTTTAGCATTATTTTTCGGAAATATACATCGACTTATTCGTTTGCTGACGGGTATTCCATACCCCCCAGGCCCCCCGGTTCTAAGCTTTCTACGGTACTGAGAAAAGAATTTCATAATCCTTCCGCAGTAACTGTCATGAGAATCCTGAAGCCTAAATGGTTTGTAGAAATGTGGTACCGGGGGGTCTGGGGGGTATGGAATACCCCCCAGTAGACTACACTTTAATTGCTATTTCCGGAATACCACAATAAAGGTATAGGGGTTTTAGCATTATTTTTCGGAAATATACATCGACTTATTCGTTTGCTGAGTGGTATTCCATACCCCCCAAGACCCCCCCCCCCCCCCGGTTCTACACTTACTGCAGTACGGAGAAAAGAATTTCATAATCCCTCCTCGTAACTGTCATGAGAGTCCTGAAGCCTAAACGGTTTGTATAAAAGTGGTACCAGAGGGTCTGGGGGGTATGGAATACCCCCCAGTAGACTACACTTTAATTGCTATTTCCGGAATACCACAATAAAGGCATTGGGGTTTTAGCATTATTTTTCGGAAATATACATCGACTTATTCGTTTGCTGACGGGTATTCCATACCCCCCAGGCCCCCCTGTTCTAAGCTTTCTACGGTACTGAGAAAAGAATTTCATAATCCTTCCGCAGTAACTGTCATGAGAATCCTGAAGCCTAAATGGTTTGTAGAAATGTGGTACCGGGGGGTCTGGGGGGTATGGAATACCCCCCAGTAGACTACACTTTAATTGCTATTTCCGGAATACCACAATAAAGGTATAGGGGTTTTAGCATTATTTTTCGGAAATATACATCGACTTATTCGTTTGCTGAGTGGTATTCCATATCCCCCAGACCCCCCCGTTCTAAGCTTTCTACGGTACGGAGAAAAGAATTTCATAATCCTTCCGCAGTAACTGTCATGAGAGTCCTGAAGCCTAAATGTTTTGTAGAAAAGTGGTATCGGGGGTTATGGAATACCGAAATTGAGGCTCGAATTTGAAGCTTCAAAGTATAATACAAATCAGGAATTTTGAAGTGAAGTGAAATTTGAGCTAGCAAGAACTTGAAGTTAAAGTTTGAAGCGTTAGGAAATGTGCAGATCAAGCAGTTTTATTTTGAAGCTGAAAATTGAAGATTGAAGTTAAACCTTGAACTTGAAACTTGACATTGATACTAAAAATGAAAGTTCGAATTTGAAGCTTCGTGGAATATGCTGATCACGTTTGATTTTGAAAAAAACTTGAAGCTCGAATTAAAAACTGGACTTCCGATTCCCTTCACGGTGCCAGTTCCGAAGTCTCACCGCTGAGATCTAAACCCTCGAACGGCCGAACGCAATTACCGCTGGAAATGGATACAAAATTACACCTGTACGAATCGATCCCACGCGAATTGCAAAAATGCAAATGACTGGTGATCTACATTTTCGGTACCGCACGACTATCACTTTCACAAGCCTATGAGATTGTTAGAGAAGTTTTTAATTAAAATCAACCTCCGTCCGTCTCTCACTCGCTCGTTGGCTAATTAGAGAGGTCTTTTTACGCAATCGATATGGTTTATTAAAAAATGCCGAAGCGCCGCCCACCTCCATCCACTCTTCGTCAATGAGCTTATATAAACGCCAAGAAATCCCCGTTCTGTAAGTGTTATGTAACTCGCGTTGATTGTTATTAACATCTGGAAATGTTGACGAAGATCGGTAAGTCGATAAACTTTTATTAAGGGTGGCGGGCCCCCCGCTTGAAATCCCTCTCGCACCGTGCGCCCTCTGCCGCTGCAGATGATGCCGAAGAGACGTGACCGAAATCGCTATATTTTATTAGCGGAGATTAAAGAATTTATTATTCAATAATTTGAAAAGTGTAGGTCGTGCGGGATTGCATAATTCATTTTTACAGCGGCGATTATTTGCCTTCTGCACGTGTCTCGGGGCGAAGACGACGAGAAGTGGGTGTGGAAAAAGAACGATGCAAGGTACGTTTCGCGCTGTGAAAAAGAAGGGGTGCACTAAGTGTTTTTCTTTTTAGTGCGCGATATTCGGTTGTGGAAGATGGTCCCGGATCTCACGATTTTGATCGTCTTCCTAATAGACCCGCAGGAATACATCATCAAGGAGCCGGATTTCCCGATAGGCCCTTTCAAAGTCGGCCGGGTCACGGATTTGTCGCAAACGAACGGTGAGTGCGCGACGAGAATTTTAATGCGGAGAAAAAAATTGTTCGATTTCAAGACCTGGGGATTACTACCCTCCGCGGCCGGGAAGCGGGCCGGGGATACTGACCGGGCCGATACCGTCGTGGGTGCGAGAGCCGCCCTTCAAGCATTACGACAAGTGCAAGTGCGCCGTGAGGTTCAATTGCAACAGTCCGGGAATTGCCTACGTCAGTTTAACCCCTAAAATCGGCGCGAATTACTCAAGTGGGATTTCAGGGACAATGCGACGTGGGGAAGCAGTACTGCTGCTATAACAGTAACAAAGACGGAGTCCTCGGTGGCCCGTTGCCGAGTACGCCGATCCATTCGCCGGAAAATGGAGTTTTAGTGGGACCCGGAGGGCCCTTCGATTATCCCGACAGGCCGCGTCCACCCTACCAAGGGCCGAACAGCTTCGGAGGCGGCGGTGGCGCTGGCGTGTTAGTTGGACCTGGTGGACCCACAGGCATTATCGGGAGACCACCTCGTGAGTCTACTACTATTTCTTCCTGATGTGATAGCATTACCACTTTTAGGGCCTTACGATGGACCATTCAATAACGGTGGCCCTTACGGAAGACAAATTGCCACCAAGAATACCAAAGATATTTAGATGATTGCCGTCGGTGGATTTTCCACGCATTGAGTTACCTACATTGTAGTCATTAAACGTAATTCCATCACGTTTCTTAATTGTTAATTTAATTGCTTTGTTTATTAAATAAATGTTTTAGTTTGTAATAATGAGGTTAATCGGTTTCATTGTATTACATGTTGCATAAGAACCCAACGTGATTGGTCGTCTCCACGATTCCACCCATCGACCTGAGAAACCAATTTCAAAGACCTGTTTCAACCCTTCCGTGGCGACACTATTCCTATGACTTGTATTTATACCCCCTCTCCTTTCCACTTGCTTCACACCTTCCTTGTGCACTCTCCCTTTCTCTTTTGCGTCACTTTCGCTTCTCCGTCACGTCACTTTCACGTCTCCTACAAGCGTTCTTCTCGCACCTCGTTCTTCTCGCACCTCTCATGTACAGTGCCAATCATCCCCCCCCCCCGCACCCCCTCCCTCTTATTCGCCATGTATTTCCAATTTCAATCAAGGTTTCCTCCGCCACTTTTACATCTCTGTCGCCCCTACATCTGCCTCACTCCTTCCTTATGCCTCATTCATGTGTTCTTCACGTTTCCTCTAAGTATCGTTCGCAAATCGGGAATATGAAAAATCCCGCCTGGCCCTCAGGCAGCTTCAAGAATAGAAGGGAACCCGGGCACTGCAGAGAAGACAATGATAAATAAGGGCGGATGAGAAAACGAAGGAAGTAAACGTGGTCCGCGAGGAGTATGAAAGGAGAAAAGGCCAAATAATATCGAAAATAGTTGTAAGCATCAACCATAAAGAAAAGAAGAGAGGCAGAAGTATATGGAG